TCCTCACACACCCAGGCTAGTCCTTGTAATAAAAAATTAGTGAACTCATGCCTTTTGTGTGTGCAGTACTGGGGGCTGGACCCAGGGCCTTCATACTGAACTACATCCCTAGTACTTTTTTAAAAAAAGATGGGAAATAGGGTCTAAGTCGCAATGTTGGCCATTTGTTTGTGAACTTGTCATCCTCCTGTCTCAGCCTCCCAGATTACTAAAATTTTTACGCCTCGAGTCCATGCTCTTAAGCATTTGAGAAGTTTTGCTTTCTCAGTAAGATAAGTTTTCCCTTCCCAGCAGGGCAACTCCTTGTAAAATTTCTAAATTATTTGGGAAAACAGATCCTGCCTCACCTCAGGGTTGCCTGGGAGGTGAAGTGCTAGTGACCAGCTGTGTGTCAGGTGTTGGCGCACTGCTTTAAAGTATTACAAGAAGTACACAAAGCACACATCTGGGTTATAAAAGCCCTTTTATAAAGCCATTTTTAAACAAAACAGAAAAAAGTTTACAAAAGAAAAAAAAAAAGATACAGAAAAAGAATAACTTGCTTCGTATGTCCCCAAAGAGAAAAATAAAGGGGACAATGCCAACATGCTCAACGATAAGGGGTTCTTTTTCTTATTTTTTTAATACAAAATACAAGCAAAGGATACACATACTTAAAACAAAGCTCAGGAGCAGACACGCAGTCCTAGAAACCTTCAATAAAAGTAAAGCAGGAGTTTTGTTTTTTCTTTGTCTATGCAGATACATACAGAGACTGGGATATGTAAAAATTAAGTATCACAAAAGACCATCACACGATTCTACCAATGCGTGTTGCACCTATAATTCACGAACATGGTCAACAAAATCATGTTCACTTCAACCCTATTTCATTTAAATTAAAGGAAAACCTTTTAAATAAAGTGGTTACATTCAGACTTTAACTTCCTTAGTACCATGCTGCAGATTCCAGCACTGTTAAGGTATTGCAAGAATGCCCAACCCTCTGGTGTCTGACCATGTATCTAGCGACATTGTAACATGAAGAAAGGGACGCTCTGCCCACAGACTAATTAATATGTCTGAGCAGGTTCCTCTTTTACCCTTCCTGCTCAGAACAAAAGAGTCAGGACTAAAATCACGGACTGGGAGTTTTCAAGCTAGCAAAATGAAAAGTCTAAAACACAAATCAAGGCAAACAATTACTGAGAACTTGGCTGCTGCTTACCCTGGCGAGTCTTAGTCCTTCCTAAGCCTTTCTGGCATTGGGTGTAGAAGGTTTGTTGCAACACGTTCATGGTAAACAAACTAAGTAGAGCTCTTATTTACAAATCTTGTAACAAATACTTCCGGAGGAAAAGAAAAGAATTCACTAATTTCCAGAAGACAAAGGTTTAATTGCCAGACATATACAAACACACACTCATACGCACACCCACACAATACTTCAGGGTTTTTATACATGTTATTTCAGGGCTTAAACTGAGTACTATACCTCCACACCCCATCAAAAAAGGAACGACCGAGAGAAAAAAAAAAAACCCGTCTCGCCCCCCCATAACCTAGAACCCCCCTCACCCACGTACAAAATGTCTGCACAGTGGCGGTGTCCTGCCAGCCACACGACGCATCCCACAGATGTCCCCCATCACACTCCGTTCACACGGCAACAGGCAGCACTTGGGATTTTCCCCAGTAGTGGTTATTACAGTCAGCACCACTGTGAGTTTCAGGAATCAGGCTTTGAACACAAGTCCAAGTTACAGATTTGATATTCCAACAGAATCATGTATGTTTATGTAAGACAAAGGGAAAATGAGGTGAGACTGAAAACCAAGTGACAGACTGCTTGCTGTCCCAATATTCAAACAATAAACTGACCCTCCATTTTAGACTGCTTCACCCAGAGAGGGCGATGTCCATCCTTGAGAGCAGCCAGTGTATTTCCCCCACTCTGGCAGATGTGTACACTTGGTAAGTGTCTCAGACCAAACTCCGTAAGGATCACAATCCAGGTTTCACCCTTTCCTAATCTTAGTTTTTCCTTTTCGGTGTTGCTACTGCTGGAGGCAGAGAGCGCCGTTGAAACTGGCACACACCCTTCACAAGCCCCAAGATCTTTGATAAAGGTCTCCACTGCTCCTGACTCCACTCTTGCCTTTCTAACTCTCAAAACATCTCTTAAACGGAAGTTTAAAGAAAAAAAGCACTATTCCATTCTCAATAAATACTCTAAAATCCGCTTGTTATTCGAATGCTCGTGAATATAAAGCTTTCAAAAAGTGTCAAGTTCAGTTTAATCGACCATATGCATGAGTATCAAAAAACCCATTAGATTATAATCTCAGCTTTCATCTTAATTTGCTACCTGTAAGAAAAAGCTATTTGAACCAATTCTAAGAAGTACTGAATCTAGGCCGGGGATTTGGCTCAGTGGTGTGGTTCTGCCACCTGCCTTGCAAGCCCAAGGACCCGAGTTCAATCCCTGGTACAAAAGGAAAAAAAGCACTGACTCTGAGAATTAAATGGGCAAATCAGTTATTGTGGGGAAAAATACCACTATCAAAAGCTCCTTCAGGAAAATTCAACTACTGTACTACTCTTTGGGATCAAAAGATTCCCACTCATCTCCTCCAGAAAGGAGGAAACACGCATTAATTTTCCCTTATGGAATCAATGTGGATGGAGCTATGAAAAGGGGAGGTTATGGAAAGCAGGGCACATCTACCATTAGTGAGAATAAAGGTGCCCTTTGGGTCCACTCCTGATTCCAATCTGAGGTGAGGACGGCTAACAGCAGCAGCAGCAGCAGCAAATCACCAAGACAGACAGACAAAAAAACCCTGCACATTTCTAGCTGGAGGAGGGGAGGCTAGAACAAAAGAACCTAAGGATTAGAATGTAGTGTCAGCATAGCTGCCAAAATCCATAGCGGTAACCCTAGCGGAGCTCAGCCTTCAGATGACATACACAAGCACCTTCAAAGTTAATGTCCTACTTTCAGGGCTGCAAAATAAGATGGTGAATGCTACTGCCACTTTCCCATAGACACACTAGAAAGAAGGAGCAAGTTTGGCCAAGGGAGGTGACAATGGCTAGTCACTGCCAGGTTAGCTGTAATGCATCCTGAACGTCATTATCAAGCCTAACCACGGTTAGAGCACCTGTTTCCAGTTGAGTCGACATGACTGTCCTCCAACTTGTGTGCATGATTTGAGGGGAAGACTAGTGTGTTTTAAATTATAAATTCAGTGGAGAAAACAAAAGTCCTTCAGAGCCTGTCTCACGTGGGGACACAGGTCATTCTGCCCAGCCTACAAATAAGAGGATACAGTTTCTGATCTAATGAATTTGTTTTACAAGGGTCCCTAAACAAGAAGCCCAATGAAATCACACAAATAGATTAGAAAACATAATTACCTCTAAAGCATGTCAGAGATGTTAGTGCAGATTAAAGAGACTGTTACACACACACACACACACACACACACACACAGTTTAAAAAGAGCACCCCCCTCAATTTGCATAAAACCTAACTAAGAAAAGTCCAAATTTTACTAGGAATGTAAGACTTAAAATAGAAGTGCATGGTGGAAACAGACAGGTCTTTTACTCTATGAACACAATTTTTTGTTGTTGTTGTTAAAAATGGACATCTGAACTAAAGCAAACAGAATAATCCTTCACACCCTCACTGCAATGTTCACAACTGTAAATTTAACCATCATGTAAGATTAGGAGCCAACTGGTACTTCTATTCAAGTGCTGTATTTTTGGCCATGTGCTAAGCACTCTTTGTTCTTTAACACACAGTGTGGCAAAGAAATGACTTGGACTCTGGGTGCTTTTACAAAATCAGAGTTAAGATGTTCCTTAAAGTGTCTTAAAAACCAGAGTAAAAATATTTCTTAAATAACCCTCTGTCCTGGGAATACCTGCAAGAAAGCCATATTGTCTGAGGAAAACATGTTGCCACTTAGAGACAAAGAAAAACACAAAATAGACTATGGAGGAAGCAAATCTAGATTAAAAGACAAAAAATGCAGAAATTAAATTTTGCTAATTTCCCAATTTAAACTCCTAGGACCCTACTTATCTCCTCAGGCATGGAAAGAACCTGGTAGGGGCACCTGGGCCTCCTAAACACGTGCATTTCTCTAGTCCAGTTGAGTCTCAGTCTCCTGCTTTAAGGAACACGAGCAATAAGCAGAGGGTCAGACCAACTTAATGTGAAAGCGGCATTTAAGACACCTCTCCTCCCATCAGTATGCGGAGAACAGATCCAGGGAAGTGTCCTAGAGCAGAGCTGCTGGGCACTGGACCGAGGTGTGAAGCAGAGTTCTATGCAGCAGCAGGAAGCGGACAGAGGCATCTCATAGCACATTTCTACAAAGAAATTAGAAGATCTGGGTGTAAAAAGGGAAATGTTCTATCCCCAAATAAAAACAGCATGGTTCATGGGACCTGAACGCACATTTACAGCACAAAAGCATTTTAATTGTTTTCATAAAGGAAAAATCTCAACCCTTTGTGACTGAGTTTCACATTAACTGGAACTTTTATTTGTGTAAAACCTAAACATTGTCAGTTTGAAAAGAAACCCACTGTGATGTGTTGATCCATCTTGCCATTTAAATTCTAGTTTCTTTCCCCTCTCTCTTACCCTTAGTAAAATTTTATCCAAAAAACAGGATACATATTTTTAAAACATGACCCATTACAGAATGAAGTATGAAATCAAGCATGATTTCAGCTTTGGCAGCCCCTATATTTTCTAAGCTCCATAAAGACTAGCAGGATAAAAGGACCATGGACTCCAAGTCTCTCTGAGATAAATGATGAAATCCAAAGTGAGAACCCACAACCCCAAACACGGTCGAGTATCCCACCACTCCATACCCACTCACTAAGGTAAAAAATATGAGTACTTTTAGTAACAATTCAGAATTCACCTTTATCTCCTACTGGACTCATCAGTGGAAGTTTAGAGTCGTGATTTCTTTTAGACATTTATACTTATGTATATAGACATATAATCTCATATTAGAGGACAACTGATTTTTTAGAAGTCCAAGCAGAGAAAGAAGCAATTATTTTTAACTAAAATCTTTCTATGTTTTTCGGTTACTGTTCAACTTGCTATCATTTTAGCCAAAAGCGAAGTTCCCACAGTCTTCATCTCAAATCGTATTGCTTTGCACATGTGGTACATCTTCCGTTACAGAGAAAAGGATGAAGCAGTCAATCCAGTGATAAATCTGACATGGCTTTCATTGGGAAATGGGGGTGGTGGCAAAGAGAAGACCAGCAAACACAAAGGTAACTTAAACACTTCTGTATACAATGGTGTTCTGGAGGAGAGGAAGAGAGAAAGGGAAAGAGAGAGGAAGGAGGAGAGGGGAGATGGGGAGGAAGAAATTATTTTTAACAAATAGAAAAAAGCACTGAAAGCCCATGAGTCAAGCCATAGCCAAAACCATGTTCTATCTTAAGCAGGTTCTCTTTCTTCCCCTTTTTTTCTTTTTTTTTTTCGTTTTCTTTTTAATAAAATCTCTCCCCAAACCATGAGCACTTTTAATCCTCCCCAGACTGGGCTTCATCTTCAGACCCTTCATCCCCAGACTTCTCAGGTGGGGGGCTTGCCAATGCCTTCTTCTCTGGAGGGCTTTCGGGCTCCTCATCTTCTTCTTTGGGAGAAGGAGTCTTTTCCTTTGATGCCTTGGAAGCTGTGGGGCGACCCACTTTCCCTTTGCCTTTCACTGGACTTGGCATCACTGAAAGAAGACAACAGTCACAAGAGAAAAATGTGTATAGTAGGAATTAGCTACAAACGACAATATGCAAGAATAAAATCTGTAAACAATTTCCCAACTTCCTCAAAAGTAAGATGGGCTAGGGCTGGGGAATCAGCTCAGTGGTTCTGCTGCCTGTCTGGCAAGTACGAGGACCCGAGTTCAATCCCCAGTACCAAAAAAAAAAAAAAAAAAAAAAAAAAAAAAAAAAAGTAAGATGGGCTCTAAGTACACACATACATCCACACATCTCAGTTTCTAATAAGGTCATGATTTAAGACCCCAAATGCTGTTGCAGTTTCCAATCATTTTGGTAAGTCTGTTTGTTTCAACTGAAATATAAAAACAAAGATTAAGCTGGATGTGGTGGTCACTAATCCCAGTGACTTGGGAAGCTGAGGCAGGAGGATCACAGTTTAAAGACAGAGCAACTTAGCAACTTCCTGTCTTAAAGAAGAAGAAAATAGAAGTGGGTAGGGATGTACAGCAGTGGTAGAGCTCCTGTCCTAGCATGCATAAAGCAGCCCTGGATTCAATCCTTAGTAGGCACAAAAGGGGTTCTTTCTTTTGGTTTCGAACTCTGGACCTTGTGCTTGGGAAACAGGTGGCAGCATCACTGAGCTACATCCCTGGCCCCTTCTTATAGATGGAGCACCCTGTAATGTCTCAACATATGTCTGTCTCATGTAGCTCATCTTTTTTCCCCTAACACCAGGGATCAAACTCAGGACCTTGTGCCTCCAAGGCAGGCACGGTACCAACTGAGCCAAATCCCTGGCCCTCTTTTTTTTTTTAAGGGACTGGGGATTGAGCCTCACGTCTTTGCACTGAGCTATATCCTGTCATTTTTTGAGACTGCATCTTGCTAAGCTGCTAACTTATCCAGGCTGGACTTAAACTTGTGATCTTCCTGCCTCAGCCTCCCACAATGCAGGGATTATAGGTATGTGGCACCACAACATTGGCTCATAACACTCTGTCATGTTAACAACAATACTTTTATTTTTGATTTTTTTAAAAACAAGAAATACATTTTTACTGTATAAAATTTACATTTGCTACAGATGTTGAAAGGCATGGGAAAAGACCTTTTGTTAATCCATTTTTCTCTGACATTTTCTGTGAAAAGTATCTGTGTTCTAATATCCTTTGGGTAGACTTTTTTTTTTTGGTACCGGGGATTGAACTTGGGACCTTGTACCTGCAAAGCAGGTAGCAGAACCACTGAGTAAATCCCCAGTCCTAGTACAAGTTTTTATACAGAATACTTAACAGTTGTTTTGGAAATAAGTGCATCAGGATATAAAACTGAAGAGATTTAAAAGTACAGGGGGAACACCACTGCCAAAGACTAATTCCCAAGAACCTGGTGTTTGGGACTGTGGCCACTTGTTGCGGGCTCAGCAAGACCCAGTGCATCCTGGATGTTGTTCCCTTTGGAAACAAATTTTAGCAGAACACCATTTCCGTATCTTTAGAATAGCTTTTCTTGCAGAGTGCTCTCGTGATCCCTCCTCCTGGGCCCGGACACAGGAATCAGCATCATTCATTTCAGGAACACACAGTTCTTCACACTTCTTGCTGGTTAAGGCTCTTTGTTTTATTCTGAGCACTTTTTTGCAAGCAAGGTGTAAGCAGGTACTGAAGGAGTGCTGTGAAGCTGCAGACTGTTTCACTGCAGAGCGACTGCTCAAAAGAACAGTAACACTGACAAAGCTGCTACTTTTCATCCAGGGAAGGAGTTTTTCACAGAATGACTTGGATTTATACTCAGTAAAAATATATCTTAACTGAAGCGCCACTAACTTTCTCCAAGGCAATGAATATACTTCAGCATTTATACTGAGTTCTCTTAAATTTTCTTCTGCTGTTGCAAATGGACTGTTTCCAATGATTGGCACTAGACAATCAGTAAAGAGGTAATCGATCTGACCTGTCTGGTATAGAAATAATTGGGTCGAGGGGCCAGGGATTTAGCTCAGTGGTTCCACCTGCTTTGCAAGTGCAAGGACCTGAGTTCAATCCCCAGTAACAAGAAAAGAAAAAAATTGGGTTAGCTGAAAGCTGGCCAACATTTCCAATGGAGGTCAGGCCCAACTCCCCACAGGGCACAGACATGTCACAGCATGGAGAAGACAGTGGGACAGACCAGGAGGACAAGGCCTCAGGAAGGACACCCGAGCTGTTGCCGAGCCCATGATCAAGGTCAGGTTGGGCCCTGCAAACCCTGGGTGCATTCATAGACCACCACCATGCGCAACCTCCTACAGCAATGCTTTTAAAAAAGAAACATGGGGTGCTCACTTCGACAGCACATATACTAAAAAAAAGAAACATGGGGGCCAGGGATTTAGCTCAGGCACCATGCCTGCCTCGCAAGCAAGGTCCTGAGTTTGATCCCTGGTACCAAAAAAAAAAAAAAAAAAAAAAAAAAAGAAACATGATGCCATAGAAAATGCGCATCATCCTCAGGCTTGTGAAACTACAAATTTTCTTTTTTTTTGTACCAGAGATCGAACTCAGGACTTTGAGTCTGCCTGGCAGGCGCGGTGTCACTGGGCTAAACCCCCGGCCCTCTTTTTTTTTTTTTAAAAAAAAAAAAAAAAAATAGGGTCTTGCTTTGTATTCAAGGCTAGCCTTGAATTCACTAAGTAGCTTAGACTGGCCTCCAACTCAAGGCAATCCTCCTGTCTCAGCCTCCCAAGTGCTGGGAACATGTGCTACAGCCTGGGTTAAAAGCTGGGTGTGGTGCTGCATGCCTATAATCCCAGCATTCTGGGAGCTTAAAGCAGAAGGTTCACAAATTTGAACCCCACTTGAGTAACTTAAAGGGAGACAATGACAATAACAGACAGGTCAAGAAGGAAAAAAAATTTTTTGATAGTTCTTTTATTCTTTGTTTTTTTGTTTTTTTTGAGACAGGGTCTCACTATGTAGTTGAGACTGACCTGGAACTCACTATGTAGCCCAGGCTGGTCTCGAACTCACAGCGATCCTCCTGCCTCAGCCTCCCGAGTGCTGGGATTAAAGGTGTGTGCCACCATGCCCGGCTAGTTCCATTATTCTTATCAAGAAATGAAGAATAAAAATTTTTTTTTAAATTAAAAAAAAAATTCTATTTGCCAGAATAAAAACCACTTATATACTACCTCCACTAGGGAACTATCTGGCAGAAACTATTAGGGCTCAGAGAAAATGAGTCCATGTTGTCAAATGTGATTTTATTCTGGTAATACAGAGAATGGGGTGGAGATCAAAACACAGAATTTGAATGTATTGCTGGGTGCTGCACATTTTCACTGTTAAGTCTTCACTAGCTGCTGAGACCGTGCCATCAGTTGATGAACAGGGCAGTAACAGCTATGGTGACACAATGTTCCCACCACTGTGCCTGAAACAAATAAGTCACTCCTACATGCTGTTATTATGGCAATAGCTGGAGAGTATGGATCAGCCCCCTGGAATCTTGGAGGGGCTGAAGTCCTTGTAATAAGTGATATTCCCAGATGTAGAAGACAGGGTACTTTCAGGTTTCTCATTTTCCTGGTAAGTATCAGGCCAATGCTGACACTTCATGAAGAATTTCTGTAGAGAAAGCAATGGTCCTTGTAAGCCTTAAAGCACTAATTTTACTTTTGCAGAGCTCACCTGTAGCCTTTAGCCTGGGTCTGGGCATTTTCTTTTCTTTTCTCTCAGGTTTGGACTTCTTAACCATCTTTTTGTTTTTCTTTTTTGAACTGCCGTAGTCACTATCATCATCATCTTCCATTAGGAAATCTTCATCACTGCCGGAATCTTCTGAGAGGAAAGAATAATTTCAATGTCCAACTTAATGTATACACCCTTCCAAGTGAAAAAGGGAGACTGCTAAGCACGATTGAAGGATGAGGTCTGGGAGTCAACACTACTGGCTTCTGTTTGAGGTTGTACTACCAGTGTGGCTGGAAGTGTCACTGCCCTATCTGGAAAGTGAGTTTAACATACACCTCATGTGAAGGCTGCATGACTGACTTGTCTAAAGAATCAGGTGAAAACAGAAGAGGACAGGGATTTAGCTCAGTGGTTCCGCCGCCTGCCTCACAAACGCAAGGTCTGAAGTTTGATCCCCAGTAACAACAACAACCACCACCAAACAAAAAACAGAAGAAACAAGACTTAATCTGAATACAAACTGAAACTATGAAATAATTTTCAGTAGTTCTATCACTCCCATGTAGTACTTACTAACTGACAGCAGGAAATCGAAACTGAACTGAGCTGGTACTTTTGGCCTGATTTCAAATAAATGAAATGAGCATTACAAAATACAAATAACTAACCTGACTAACCTCTGAAACACCTAAATTTTGAAATTATCATTTATTTTTTTGGGGAAAGGTCTATATCCTCCTCTGTGAGGCTAAAATATAAACCCCAGTCACAGCTTGTAACTATTATTCTAATACTTGCTCACACACTATTTGAACACAATGTCTTTAAAGATCACAACCATTACAAATGGTGAACAATCATGTGACTCTCTGAACTTTTAAAATCATGCCACCAACAGTCATGTCCCTTAAAAGAAAGTATTCATTTAATTTAAAGGAATAAATATAATATTTAGCATCTCAGGAAATACCCAAACAATTAAAGCCATACACTGCAGTCACCAGCCAACTTTACGTACTCTCCTGGAATGGCGCCTCATCCTCTTCTTCTTGTTCTTCCTCACTACCCACATCTTCCATCAGCATCTCTCTCTGTTTAGAAGCTGCTTTAGATGCTGCCTGCCGCTGCTGGCGCACATTTTTATGATCATCTTTTTCATCTTCACTGTCCTCTGCAATATAAAAATTTCAGGATACAGTGACTGAATATCTAAAAAAACCACACAATGACGTACGTGGCATATAACCTGCAGCTTTCACTCTAGAAGAGTCAATTTTATCCTTGAAAATTCCTGCAACGCTCACAGAGGGAAAGCTGAAGTTCACCAAAAAGGAACTTGAATTATGTATTGACCACACATATAAAAATAACTTAGACGTATAATTTTAAGGAATAACAAAGCTGATTTAAATTGTGATCATATCCTTCCTATATCATACTTTATCATTGTTTCCCCTAAAATTCTCAGTTACATTTAAATTCATGTTCATTGCTTTTAGAAGTTAAAGTTAGAAAACTACTACTATAATCCCAGCTCTCAGAGAGGCTGAGGCAGGAAGACTGCAATGCAAGTTCAAGCTCAACATGGGAAACTGAACAAGACCCCAAATATAATATAAGGTGGGGCTGGTCCTAGGGATGTGTCAAAGCATTGGGTTCAATTCCCAATACCATTAAACAAACAAACACACATGAATGGGGTATAACTGTAAAGATAATTTTAATATTCTTTTCAATTTAGAGAGGGAGAGAAATCTGTAAAATATGTATTTAGATTAATTAGCTAAAGTTCTTTGGACAAGCTTATAAAAAAATTGCTTTCAGGGGGTCAGGGATTTAGCTCAGTGGTTCTGCTGCCTGCCTTGCAAGCACAAGGGCCCGAGTTCAATCCCCAGCACCAAAAAACCCCAAACCAAACCAAAAATAAACACCTTTCAGGGCTGGGATACAGCTCAATGATAGAGCACCCACTCAGAATGCATAAGGCCCTGAGTTGTACTCCCAGTACTACATCAGAAAATATAACAAAATCAGCTGGGTGTGGTTGCTCACACCTGTAATCTCAGCACTCAGGAGGTAGAGCCATGAGGATCACTGTGAGTAAGGCCAGCCTGGACTGCACACCACCACCACCACCACCACCACCACCACCTAACAAAAAAACCAGGCCCAGTGTGGTGGTATATGCATGTATTCTCAGCATTCTGGGGGATTGAGGAAGACCATGAGTTTGAGCGCAGCCTGGGCAACTTAGCAAGAGCTTATCTCAAAATACACAAAAAAAACCCAAAACACTGGGGATATAACTCAGACTGCCCAGTACCATAACAAACAAGCAAATGAAACTTTCACATACAATTAATTTTTATAAGTTTTATCAATACCCAGTTGTGTTCTTGAATAAAACTGGCTCTAGACTAAGCTATACTTGTATTAGTCTCTACCTACAGCCTTCTTGGACTTTTTGGCTTCCTCGTTCCAGTAAGGTTTAGCTATCATTCCTCTGAAAAGACTCTCAGTTCTGAGTCTTGCCATGGTCATATTCAAGTGACCACCTTCACTGCCAAACCCCATTTGAGGCAAACGGAGAATAAAGCTAACTCAGGCGGACCCTTAGCTAAGCCTATTGAGGAGACGTATTAATACTGAGTAAAGAGTTATATATTTTAAAGGGCACAAAAAAACTAATAATGTAAGAGATTCCAATTAAGAGTTTTTAAGGCAAGTGAATGAAAGCATATACTACATTATCACAAGTTCACTAGATTAATCGAAAAGGTTAATATTTACTTTCACTGTAAACAGCCAAATATGAATTTAAACAGTTAAATAGGAAGAAAAGCAAAACAGCTCAGTGGAAGCTTGAATTTAATAAAATCTTGCCTATTCTCTACATAACTAAACAGCAATCTCCTTAAAGGGGAGATCCAGAAGACTAAGCAGATCAAAGCTGAAGTGGGGTGTGAGTAATAAGAAATAAAATTCTCAATTCTTAAAAAAGATAAATTTAAAAATAAATACCATCCATAAGTCACTTTATGTCCAGTACTTTGCATTAATTCTTTCAAGTTAAAATACTTGCAAAAGGCTTTCCCAATGGCTGTTTCAAAAGACTCTTTTCCAACTAAAAAAAGTGGGACCGAAAGTTACTTTTTGGGCCAAGGATTTAGCTCAGTGGTTCTGGCACCTGCCTCACAAGAGCCAAGGACCAGAGTTCGATCCCTGGTATAAAAAAAAAAAAATTGCTTTTTAAACTCTCAACCCAGAGTTGGTTGTTCCTTTTATTGGGGGGGGGGGTTTACTGGGGATCAAACTC